AAATTGCTAATGAGCTTATGCCTATTGCGATCTTTATCAGGGTATCACAGCTGCATAGGGTGCTGAATTCTCTAAGTGTCAGGGAGTCCCTTGCTTCCGGGCTCTCCAGGCTGAGCAGGTGAAGGAAGAGGGGTCCTGTGTTCTTGACGGCCATGTGCAGAATTCCGAGAAGGCACCAGAGAAACTATTCCATGTGATACCAAGAGACAGGCTCTGGTACTTTGGAATCCTCAGAAGCAAATGGGGGTATGAATTATATATAAACTAAGCGACCATACTGAGATGGCCAAGAAAGTACTTGCCCGAAGGCACTGGGTGGCACACCCTCCATCATCCCTGTACTGTTTATGAGTTCAAGGCTTGGGTCAGCAGGTGGCAGGACAGGTTATCTCTTAGTGCCAGGAGGAAGCTGGGTCATGCTCTTTCATTTTTATTTGACACTGGCCTTCATCTCCCTTCTGCAACTCATTTCCATGGAACCACTAGGACAGAGCAGATTGCAACCCTACTAAAAGGCTTGTGGCTGTGGGAGATGCAAGGGACAGTTCTACTTTGTTCCCTCCTCTTCTTTAGGAAAATAGTCCTGATGTGCATTGCTTCTTGCCCAGGATCCTCTCACAAGTTTTAAAGAGATGCAGAAAGGTTTCAGGTTAGGTAAAATGTGTGCTGTCTTGTTTCTCGTGTGCTTGGAGCCCTCCCTTGAGTATTGTGGTGGGCGAGGGAAGAAGGCACGTGGCTTCAACAGCCACCCTACAGTTCCCATTCTGTCCCCCCATGCCCCATCTTTTATTTGCTTATTTCCTTGGAAGAATCCTTTTTTTTTTCTGGAATACCTAGAGGCCAAGAGGGATGTAGAGAGTTACAAAGTGTTTGTGGGAAATGTATCATCCCAGTGAGTGAGCAGTAACAGACCATGGTCAACTGTGACAGTTTCCAGATAGTGATTTTATGTAAGTAGACCAAGAAGAGAGAATCAGTTTATACAAATTTATAGGGCAATAAGTAATGGTGCAGAGGGCACAGAGCTTAGACCACATCAGGGGTCCATGGCTATCAGTGTTCTTGGTACCAAACTAGGGACTCTGGGAAAGTCCATTCATCACCGTAGGTCGCAAGGTTCTGCCTTGCTAAATTGTGTGGGGGTGGGTGTGAGTACATGACTGACTAGGTCCTCCACATAACACACACAATCTATGCCTTTCGGAGTCTTTAACAGATTTTGGCTCCAATAAACCATTAGATAGGACGAATGGGACACTAGTTTACAAACAAGAAATGTGAGTTCTGGGGCTCAGGACCAAAAGGGCCACCACAGGGCTAATTCAACCCAACTTCATGCTTGGCCCTTTGAGGCAGCACTGTTGGGAGTGTCTATGGTGACTTGCTTTTCAGGCACCACTGTATCGAGTGTCTATGCATTCTAGTTTTTAGGTTTCCAGGTAATAACCACTTGAAGAATGTCAGATTTATTAGCTGCCCCATATCTTCTTCCTCTTTCAGAATTGCAATAGCTATTTTCTTGGGTTCTGTGAGTGTGGGCTGAAACCAGAGCAGTGGTGGAGGAGTTAGGAATGTAATACTCAGACCTGCCCTCATATCACAAAGTTAGCAGTGAGTGGGGTGGGTCCAGGAAGCTCCCCAGGCACAGCTGAGGCTGCTGAGGACTGCTGCCCTGACCTAATGCATGTGCTCCCTTGCAACTGGCTGGTCCTTGGCATCTCCTCACTTTGTGCACCAAGAAACACAAAGGGCCAACTTCCTTCAGGTCCCAGAATCAACCAGACCCACGCACTCTGTATGTGCATTTTTACAATGCTCAAATATGTAGTTCTGTATCCTTCATAAATCCTCAAGCTTCTGGACTTATCGTGTGTGTCTTTCTTACTTCCTTCAAGTCTGCTTGGAATCTGAAAATATCTTAGACACCAGCTCTGCAGCCCAACATACAGGAAACCTTGAGTTAAGCCGAATCCAATTGAAATAGTAATTTAAAATAGAACAAATTCATTATTTAGTCAAGGTGGTTAAGACTGTAAATTCAAGGTACTTTCCCAGCCATTTCATCCAGTCTCACCAGAAGTACCAGCAACATCAGGAAATGATTTGTGTTTACTTGAGACTAATTTACAATCAAAACCCTTGTCTTCTCCAATAAAGAAAGAATATTTTGTTGATAAAACTGGTATGCATGCACATACACATATATGATTTCTCTTTTAGAAGTTATTTTATATAGCATTCATTAAGTAAAGTTCTGCTATGTTTATGGCAAATGCTTGAAATTTAAGGCCATTAAGATTTTATTGCAATACATTCATTTTCATTACTTTTGTGTTTAAAGCATAAAACCTTTGGGAATATCAAGTGCAAATATGGACTCCAATTCCCATGCAATACGCTCATATTTAAATTAAGTATGTGAATGTGTGTATACAAATATTGCCTATTAGTTTAGGGCACTAGTTTAAGAATCCTCTGTGATTTTTAAAATATGAATTATGAATCACATTTGCTAAGAAATTTTCACAAAGGGAGAAGTACATTCTTGCCCATCAAAAGCAAAAGTCTTACGCATTTCCAAAACTTACTCTGTTTTTCCACATCAAAATGACACAGCAACATCTTCTGCCCTTTGGAGAGCAGCAGCCTGTGGTGGCAAGCCCACATCCTGCACACTGCTTCTGTTTTAATGTGCTTACATAAGCAAGGCTGGTCTCTCCGAAGAAGCACTAGCCTTGCCAATCACCTGGCTGACAACTTGCACAGCACTTGCGGAGGGACAGCAGTTAAGTGACAGATTTCCTGAGATCACCAACTTCTGCCCATCACAGAACCTCGATTACGTTATTTATTTCCTTTAGATTTTCTTTCAACAGCGGTCACTAGAAAAGCTACTTGGAGTTATACAAAGATTGACAAACAAATGCTTTTTGAAGATACAGATTTCCATAAGGATTACTGACAAAATAGTACATAGGGACACAAAGTTTAAATATTATTACACATATCTGTGTAATTCCATTATGTATATGGAATGAACAATTGCATTTCTGGAGCAAAAATGTATTTGATACATGCATGTACCCACAAACATGCTTGCTTGTCTCTTAATCTTAGAAATAACTTTCCTGGAGTCTTATAAAGAATTTTTATAATGTGTTTTCCTTGCTATTTTAGTTGGGGGTGTGAACACTGCCATTGCTTCAACCAAGGATCCACTCAAAACTCAAAACTCAAATCCTCCAGAGTGAGGGCAGACTCTTCCCTGCCAGCAGTCAGTGCCTAAGCCGACGTGTTCAAATCTGTCACATTTTGAAACAAGTTTTAGCAGGAATGACTCAGCAGTCCTGGGTCACTCCAGGTGGTATCGACTTGGTGACTGCCCTGGAAGTATGTGGTCCCAACAGTATAAATTTGTTGAAAGTCAGCATGGGAAAATGAAGTCTCTCCTCCGTGAACTCCTCATCAAAAATACAAAGACAAATAATTTTGGAGTTTTCTGAATGACAACAATATGTTAAAGCATGAAGCTTAAAGGGAAGATGCTAAAAGCTTTGAGGAGGAAGATGATAAAAATGAAGTATAAGAGTAAGGATTCATGACTAAACAAGAAATAAAAACTAAATTCATTTTGACAGAGGTGTGTGTGTCTGTGTGTCTGTGTGAGTGTGTGTGTGTTTCTTATGGTACACTCACGCATCCTTTACTAGTCTTTCAGGTAGGTCCAATCCTTAACCAGAATCACAGTCCACGGGAGGTCTTGAGTGCATGTCTCAAGTAATCAATCTAGCATAATTAAAACACCAGAGGCACAAACTGGGGCTCCATGTACCTTATTAGTTAAATTGACAACCTGGCAGTGAATAGCAGAGCGCTGGCCAGACCCTCACACCCCTACATTGCTGTGTTCGGGGGCAGCAGTCACAACAGGGCGGGAAGTACAGAGGTGACAAGACAAGTCCTGCTGTGCCCACAGACCATGAACTCTCATGGAAATGCTTTGCCCAGCCAAGATCTTCCAGGAGATCCCTTCAGTTTCCCCAACCATTCTAATAAGCAGGACTTAAATGAAAGACTTTCCACTGCAACCTTTTGGTAACCATTCCCCATGTCACACACACACACACACACACACACACACACACACACACTGGCTTCCGTAGTGTCATCACCACAACACAGAACCAACTATGCGACGAGAAAGTTGTTCAAATTCAACAGCCATTCTGTTAGTCAATGGCTACTTTCTAATATCCTCATTAGCTCAGACTTTTTAATTACCACTGTTGACACTGCCCTCAGAGACAACGCCACATGTATGTTAAGTACACTGGCAGTTATCTTGGCTCCTTGATGATTAACAAAGATGTCAAGGGCCAATGCCAAGCCAGTGTGCTGGCTGGACACTGTCCACTCCCTGCTGTGTCATTGTTTATGCTCTATTAAGCCATTTTCATTGCACCTTATGGGCCAATATAACATCCAAGCTAGAGGGTTCTCAAATTCTGGGCAGCATTACTGACCATACAGCAATCTCTTTTCATTTCAAATCACCTTGACACTGCAGACAAACAGAAACCAAACTGGGGGAGATCTAAGTTTAAACATCTCAAATTTCACATCTTTTATTAACCCCCTCGATCATACCTTGTTTTACAAGACACATCAATGGTATTGTTTCTCATTTTTAAGAAAATATGCTTCCTAGATCTTACTTAAATCTTTTTTTTTTTTTGTTAATCAAATTATGTTACTTTGCCTCACTGTATTGAGTCTGCAGAGTTCTCTCCTTTTGGCCTTGCTTCATGCCTTATTGTTCATCTTCACAGCACACAGAAATCAGTGGAGCAGAGATGAGGGACGCATTGATGCTACTCAAATCTCTATTAATAACAGCTCTAGTTAGACAAGCTAAAGCAGCTGTTGGGAAGGGCTCTCAACCCAAAGGCTACCAGGTCAAAGTCTAATGGCAACAGAAAACATATGGAGTGTTCACTTACCTGCTTCTGATCAACAATTATTTCGAGGTCTTCATCACTGCTTAGCTTTCCATAGCCTTGTTCTTTACTTTTCTTGTGAAAGAACAATTTTAAATATACTTTAGTTTCTTTTCATTAAATATCTTAATTCCTACTTAATAATTCATAAAGACAAAACTACTTAACTCTTTCACTAATCACAATGCATCATTCTTGGCTTCAGTCCCTTGTGTACAGCAAACCATCATCTTATACCTCTACATTGACTTTGCTTTTCCTCTTACATCCAAGGACTATGCCCTCAGGTCCTCCTCAACATTCTGTCTTGTTCTGTAGTTTCAGCAAAGATTCTCTAATACTCTGAGATACACCAGCAGTTCTTTGAAGACTCTTAGCAGATTTTTCTCAAGAACAGAAACTTCATTTAGAATTATACTATTCTTAAAATGTCAACCATCACATGTTATATTTTAATGCCTTATATATTTTAAGAATAAGAGAAGTATTATATAATGCAGCCAACAAACTCTCAGGTTTTTAATATTTCAATAAATCACATGAATACTAATGTGGAAAATAAAAAGTAATTTTAACAAATAATATGCTTCAAAATTCAGTGGTTTATGAAGTTGGAAGAGTAAAGCATATCTATAAGTACGATTTACTGCCATTTTATTATTTTATTGTTATGATTGGTCCTAATGACCACTTTCTACTCCTCTTCTCCATAGCAAAATTCATAAATACACATTTTAAGGTTGGAAAAGGAGTCCAACCATAACCATCATCTCACAGTTACGTTGCAGAAAAATGGTAACATATTTATCTTTTTCTCTCCAGGGGGACTATCAGAAGTATAATGGAACTCTTTCATACCAACGACAGATAAAGACAAAGGTCATCATGGACTTTTCTGTTGTCCAAATAGAAACCAAAACAAAAACAACCAGACAAAAACCCACCTTGCTTTGGATGCTAGCCACACAAACTAGAATTAAGCAGTTAGATTTCTAAAACTCCAGTCTCTGGTGTCATATTAGCACGGGTATTGTCTATCAGTGGCCATGACACGAGACTTTTTTATGCTGCAGAACATAGTCTTTCTCTCCTCTTTGAATTCATATTTGAAAATGCTATATTTCAAAATATATGTTATATCTCAAAATAATTCTCCCCCCATAAATATATCTCTTATTTTTATGCCATTATTGTAATACAGAGATCAGAGACTTCAAGTCTGGAGATGCATAAATAAAAACCCCCAACTTCATCCACACATGAATAAACTTTGACACTCAGGACAGAACAGATGGCCCCAGTGATGCTCCCAGATATTATTCTTCTCTTTATCTGAGGTTCCCTTCCAGGGTGGAAGGAAAACAACGCGAAGAAGTTTGACTTGAGCCAAGCTGACTTCCTGTCTCCTGGCTTCTGGGTCCTCTCAGCTCAGCTGAGACACTCTCTGCTCTGCAGCCCTCAGAAATGCGTTTCCCCATATTGATCTGTATACGTACCAAGTAGCTCGTCTGCATGACCCGGTTTCTGGACAAAAGGGCATTGAGTAGAGATGGAATGTGAGTCCTTCCATCCATTTCACTCTCAGACATCCCAGAATTCTTTGCACCAGCGGCAGTGGCTTCATTGCCAGAACTTGCTGACCAGAGAACCACAGATCTTGCCCGGCAACAGTATTAATAATGTACAATGATAATTGAAGTATTCCTGCATCACTGTTATGACTTTGTAAACATCCTGAAATTTTTGGCTACAAAGAGCTATGGATGGGAAATTTTCTTTTCCTAATTATTATCATGCACTTTTATGCTTCCTGGCTGCTGCTCCCCTTTAGTGATTTTTTTTTAAAAACCCACCTATTATTTATTAGATAAATATTGCATTTAATCCCTTACATAGGGACTCCTCAGCCTCTTGGTCACAGAAAGTCTCAACTTCCCCACTTAAGCTCCCCACCTCAGACTTTGCTGACAATTTCTGTTAATAGATATAACAACGCCAGCACACACAGAACGTAATTCGAGACTGCAGTTTCTGTTAATGCTACATTTCACTTTCCCCACTTAATCCCAGCTCTGTCTGATTTAGTAGCACAGTTTCCTGGGAAGAGCGGTCAGGAAAGGAGAGTCTGTGCAAATTTCTCTCAGTAGAAGTTGCCATTTTCCAGGACTGGGAGGAGGCACTGGGAGTTCTGATTCTTGGGCTTAAGCCTCTAGACTCCACGCGACACGCACAGAGACAGCAGTCTCGTAGCTCTCCCCTAGAATCAAGCCTCATCCTCAAGTCTATCCCATGACCCTGGGGCACTCACACAGCCGCCCACTTACTGATCTCTAGTGCGAGCACAATCCTCTTTCAAGCACTGAGCTGCCCACTTTGCTTAGCTGAGCCAAAGCCGGGGATCTTCAGCTTCCCCCCTCCTCCCAGTCGGGAAGTCCTGGCTTCTTCCTATGCACTTTGCCAAGCCCAGAAGCAAGTCCCTGGTTTCTGCAAGATCTTGCACATCAGCCAGAGGAGAGGACTAGGAGGAGGAAGAAAGCTAATCTGCCCTCTGTCCAAGTGTGAAGGGGCGGGGCTTATGGGGGAGGAGAAGCCACAGGGTAATCGCGTCCTGCGCTCCACCCACAGCTCTGGCAAGATGCTGAAGCTGAGGGTTTCAAGTGAGGCAGGGAAAGGAGGCCCTCAAGGCCGGGCCTCCTCAGGCCGATTGCTTGAGGTCACTTTTGTGCACTCTTAATGAGGACATCTGAGGAAGAACTGTTAGTGCCACGGAGCTAAAAGGGTGAAAGGACTCGAGGCAGAGAAATGAGAGGCGGCATGATAGTCTCCCTGCCTATGAGAAGCCTTGAGCCCAGGCCGAGGGTCATGTATGAAACCCCAAACACAGTGTCCCTTATCTTTCCCCACCGTGCCGAGTGACATCATTCTGAATTCAATCAGACTAGCTCGAAACAAGATTGCCTGGTTCTTTGTTCCTGCTGGCACAGTCTCCGGAATACCATCCAACCGGGTCATATCTGTGGTTTCCAGAAGAACTGCAGACGTACCTGGCAACTCAACTTGGCCCTACTCAGACTTCCACTCTTTCCTCACCTTTACCCACTGCCTCTCTGTCCCTCCTCCTTCTTTCCACGGAAGTGGAACTGAAAAATGGATGTCTTCATTTGAATTAAGTAAGTCACAACACTTGCGAAGTTGTAAGACGATGCTATTGTGAAAATCATTCCACAGGAAAATGACTGGGAAAATCTATAGCAATATCAATAGAAGCTGAGGTCATCGAGTCCACAAATGAAGCAACTTGTTTCAGAATATGAACTAATAATAATAATAAAATAAAAATAAAACTAATGTCTGTGGGTTGGGGATACAGCTTGGTGGTAGAACACTTACGGAGAACACATGAGGCCCGGGGCTCAACCTCCAGTACTACCAAAAGAAATTTAAAAAGGAGTTGCGATTGAAAAGTATTAGCTGTTTGTGGACTGAATTTAAAGTACTCTTCATACTCAAGAGGAATGGAACTCACATAGGAAGTTTTGAAAAGGAAAAGGAATGTTTGGCATCTAACAGGATAAATTGTCCCCAGTTGTAGTCTTTGTTTAACCTTAGATGTCAACACGAATGTAAAGGTTATATATTTCACATAGGTACTTCAACAATGGTTTATCATGATTTAGCTACTGCTTCATGATATTTAATAAGCAAGAATGTATTAAAGCAAAAGTCACACAGTGAATTAACAATAGTGGCAGGGAGCTAAGATTTTCCCATTGACATTTTAGCTCTCGGTCTCAGAGTTGTCTGGGGTCAGTTCCTATCCTCCAGGGTCCCCTATCTTTAATCTCTTCTCTACCACAATTCTCCCCACTGCCCACCGAATTGCTTAGGTTTTCCCACATTTAGAAGGCGATTTCCTCACATCCCCGTTTCTCTGCTCTCTTCACTGTTAAACTAGAAGGAATGGTCCACTCTCACTCATGGAGCCCTTCACTCTCTTTGTCCTTCTGCATCCACCATCAGGGGGATTATTAAATAGATTAGCAACCAGAAAGGGTAAGGAAGGCAATGCACACACAAGGTCGCCGACGGGCTTGTGGGGTCTCAGAAAAGTCCTGCCAAGTAGAAACATCTAGTTGACCTTTGGGACATGTGCATCCGTTTCTAAGGAAAGAGATAGGGCTACACATACTGGTAGCTGAATAAGAAAATGGCAGCGGCGGATGAGCTCGAGAGGCAGAAGAAATGGGACTCAACTCAGAAGCCGAAAGAACAGCTCTGCTTTAAAAATAAGCAAAAGAAGAGGGAACGTTCAGGGGTGAGAGGGAGAGTACGAGGAGAGTGTGGAGTGCTACGGAGGTGACAGAGGAGGTGACAGTGTGAACTGCAGCCTTCCCCACAGGGAGGTGGCAGAAGTTACCAATGAGTAGGAAGAGAAGCAAAGAGGGAAGCCAGATGCAAAGACGGGTGAGGTACATTGCTTGTGGGGAGTGAAGATGGGGAGAGGATGCTGGTCCCTTAGGAAAGCTCTCGTGTGAGAGGGGTGGGAAGACTGGCTGAAGATAAAGACGTGAGGCAAGGTTATGGGGAGAGCCAAGGGCCCCCAGCCTGCCTGCCTTCCTTCCTTTCTACCAAAGTCCTGGGCATGTTTACAACTCAAGAAAAACAAGAAAAACGCTGAAAAATTGAAAATACAGATACCAGAAGGAAACGGGGTGGGGGCGGGGGGGGGGGGAAGGGCAGAAAACAAGAGAAAAGATTGTTTAGACAAAGCAACTTCTCTTTTATAATTATGTGTGAAATCTTTGAGAAAAAAGAATCTGGAGGATTCTATACAAAATGCTAAAAGTTATTTTTTCCTCTGAGAGAGAGAATTAATAATGACCCGCAGCTTTTTCTTTAAACGTGAGAGTATTTTCTGAAATAAAAATGAATTTCATAATTCCAAAAAGGAACCAAAATTTGATTGCTTACGAGAGCCAAGCAATTGCTGTTGGGAAGGCTACAGACATCACGGAAGAGCGCCGGTACAGACTCTGCCCTTTGTCTGAGTGGTCTTGGGCTCTGGTGGTGAGTGCTACAGGATGGTGGTATAAACACGCTAGGTCTCCATTGTATTGAGCATGCCTTCCACGATGTGACAGTATTTTGGTCCTATGTCCTTTCTCTAAGGTCCATGGTGTCAGCATAGCCACAGAGGACATTGCTGAGACAGCCAAAGAAATGATGAAAAGAGAAAACAGGAAACAGGAGGGACAGCCTTTACCAAATGGAAAGGTTGATGCCTGTCAACTCTCCCTAGGTCGAAGTCCTGAGTGGGCAGGCTTCTTAAATAGATATGGAATAATGGCTGTCAAACCCCTGATTTTTTTTTTTTCATTCAAATTCAGGAAGGGAAAATGTCATTGTTACAGAGCCTGAGAGTAAGTAAGGGTTAAATGTAGGACTAAAGTGTGTGTGTGTGTGTGAGTGAGAGTGTGTGTGTGTGTGAGTGTGTGTGAGTGAGAGTGTGTGTGTGAGTGTGTGAGTATGTGTGTGTGTGTGAGAGTGTGTATGTGTGTGTGAGAGAGTGTGTGAGTGTGTGTGTGTGTGAGAGAGAGAGAGAGAGAATGTTTGCATGCACCTGTGTGTGTGTGCGTGCGTGTGCCTGTGCACTCATGCTGTGGTAAAACAGAGTGTCCACAGCGCTCACTGCTTTATTTTACTTCTGGGCCTGACTTGCACAAGCAGGACACACAGCCCACAGACTCACTTCTGAAGGCATATTATGAAGTAAGAAGAGAATACAAAGACATCAACTATCTTGTGACACTTTAAAGTGCTTATGAAGCAAATCACGCACAAGCCCAAATATTTAGTAGTCTTTCCTATTTTAAGGCCAAGTCTACCAGAGGAAACAGTCGTTAGCTGGGTGAGGTCATGGCCATGAAGCCAGGAGTTTTTACGGTGGTCAGGCAGACTGCCCTTTATGCTGGCTTTTCATGATTTTCTTTTATTTTTATAGTCCCACTGTGTAGCCCTTGCTCATCTAGAACTTGATATGTGGAACAGGATGGCTTCCAAGTCCTGGAGATCTTCCTGCCTCCTTGCCCAGGGCGCTGGGGATAAAGACACGCACCACCACTGGCCCTGGCTTTTCTGCTGGCTCTCAGACAGCCAGTATGACAGTAAATGGTCTAGATTCTACTACTAGCCTTTCCTGATTCTTGCATCCTCCTGTGTCAGTCCCAGTGTCTGCAGTGCTTATTTTGAAGAACAATACATGCTATCCCATGTCTACATATTCTTTCAAGGTTTGTTTTTTAAAATTCTGCAGTGCAAAGCTATTTTTTTTTTCAGTAAAGGGTGAACTAAACACTCAGGGTTTTCTTCTCTCTAGCAAGTCATTGTATCGACTTGAAAATCAGATAGCTTGCTGTACTCCTAGCACCTAGTGCTGGAGATGGGTCCCATGCCTAGGATTAGAGAGGAGGATTTTTGATCAAAGGGCTGGGATTTTTATAGTTCCCAGGCAAGAGCAAGTGATCAAACAAGTCTACTCTCTGAGACAAATGTATGTTTTGATAGACAGTGCAAATGGATGCTAATTACTGACCTCATTTTATATCCTTTCATCTTAGTGTCTCGCCGCATACAACAACCAGCAAATGGCTTCACTGTGCTCTGGAATACATGGAATTATGAGCCTCAGGACTGCACCCCTGGGCAGAGCTTCCTAGAGACTACACTGGCTTTAAGGAACAGCACTTGGTGTCACAATGAGGTCAAGTAGGCAGCAAATGAAACTTAAAATTGAAATTTCAATTCTGTAAGAGTCAGGCAAATGCTACATGGCTTTAAAGACAATAAAGAAGCCATTTCTTAACTCTCCCTCACCTTACAAAGCAAACAAAAACACACTCAAGGAAACAGCAAGCAAGACTAAAGTGCTTTTTACAGAACATTCTAGGTCCACTTTTCTCTCATCTAGAAGGTTGTCTTCTGCACACACATCACGCTCCTTAGAAATTCCAACTACCATGGGTATAAATGAAAACGTTCTGACCTTCTAAAGACATGACTGATTAAAAATTAAATATTACAATCTGTGCATCTGGAGTGCTATGACCTTTGATGCTATTTCTAAGGGAAGAAGAAACAAAGTTCTTCATTTCCACACCTAACACACGTGGTCCTTTGTGGAAGACGGGACAGAGTAGGAGAGTGGGCATGGCATTCTGGATCCCCAACGGGAACTGAATCTTACTCTCCAACACCACCCCTTTCTCCCGGTTCAGCCCCACAGCCGTCACACTTAAGAGAAGAGAAAGCCCTCCCCGTTGGTCGTTTGAAATATGAGATGAAAACCACTGCAGCTACAACTAAGACACAGTGATAATGTCGCTGCACCCAGCGACAATATTTATTCTCATATGTACCGGCTCTGCGTGGTGGGCATGAAGCCATGCGGCACTTCCTCAAACA